CTGCTCCGGGGATCATGCTAGTCATGGTGGTATTGCACTGACTGCTGCTGTTATTGGTGGTTGTTGAAGTAGACATTCACTGGTTCCTCACTATTTGCCAGGCACAGCAATAGGCATGTTATTTATAGCATCTTATTTGATCCTCACAACCCTCCTATGAAACAGATACTGTTATTATCCCAATTGACAGAGAGGCAAACTGAGGCTTCAATTTGTCTGGCAAACTCCCTACAGACACAAAGCGATCAAGTGTAAAATGAAGTGTTCAGACCCAGGCCTATTCGGGGACAGAGTCTGAGCTTCTAACTCATTTAAGAGATCATCTATACCGATCTCTCTTTCGGAGATGAAACTAGAAGATAAAAGAATGAATCAGCTTCCAAAAGCCCTGTACTAAGTACAACCACATAAATCTTTGGTTTCAAAATTATAGTTCCTTTCCTGAAAATGCTTCATTACTATTTTTCATATTGAATTAAGCAAGACCTCAAGAACTGCTTTTGAAAAACAATTTCGTGTACTTGTTTGGAAAGGGAGATCATAGCCAGGCACAGTGGTGCACACCTGTAATCCCAGCCACTCAGGAGGCTGAGACAGGAGGATTGAAAGTGCAAGGCCAGCCTCAGCAACTTAGTGAGGCCCTAAGCAACATAGGGAGACTCTGTCTCTAAATAAAAAATGAAAAAGGGCGGGGATGTGACTCGGTGCCTAAGTGCCCCCTGGGTTCAATCCCCAGTACCAAAAAATAATAATAATAAAAATCATGGAATTGGTGGGCTCACAGGAATGAGTCCTATTTGGGGAGCAGGAAGCGATAGCATGCAAAAATCCACCGGGACATCATTCCTTAAGTAAAAATAAAAAGTAAATAAGAAGGAAGACTTTCATTCCTTCAAGGAGACATGAGAAGCAGCATAGAGTAGCAGTCCCTGGAGGCAGATGGCCAGGCTTAGGATCCCAGACCCTGCATCTACCCACATGTGACTAGGACAGTTTATGTCACCTCTTGGCACACCATTTTCCCCCACAGCAAAATGGGGGCAGGATTATTATTAGAATTAAATGAGTAGATGCATATGAACTTGGAAAAATACTGACTAAATGTTAGGAATTATGAGTATTTAAACTAATAAATATAAAATCTTTGACATGATTTTCTCCAATCTCCAACTGAGAGGTCTTCACAGAATTCTGTTCTGATTCCACCATCCTACTGGCCTTTAAAAAAATTATTGTTCTTTTTAGTTATACATGACTGTAGAATACATTTGGACATATTATACCTACATGGAGTCTAACTTTCCATTCTTGTGGTTGGACATGGTGTGGAGTTTCATGGGTCGTGTCTTCATATATGAACATTGGAAAGTTCTGTCCCACTCATTCTACTGACTTCCCCATTCCCAACCCTCTCTCTCTTCCCCCAATTCCCCTGTTCAATCTGGTGAACCTCCATTCCTCCCTCCCCCCTGCCTATGGAGAGTCAGCATCCACATATTAGAGAGAACATGCAACCTATGTTTTTGTGAGCTTGGCATATTTCACTTAGCAAGATAGTCTCCAGCTCCATCCATTTACAGGCAAATGTCATAATTTCATTCTTTATGGCTGAGTAATATTCCATTGTGTATATATACCACAATTTCTTAATTCATTTACCTGTTGAAGGGCACCTAAGTCGATTCTATAGCTTAGCTATTGTGAATTGGGCTGCTGTAAACATTGATGTGGCTGTGTCATGGTAGTATGCTGATCCTACTGGCCTTTTAATAAGTCTTTTTTCTAAATATATGAGTATAAATCATGAACCACCACAGTTCCATGTTCAGAATACAATGGTCTATATGGGCCCATAATCAATATGTAATCAAAAAGGTCAAAGTCCCTGATTTGCATATTTTTATCCTCCATAAGACCACACAAGTTGAATGCATGCATGCATGAATGAATGAATGAAGATTCCAAATTGGAGGTAAACAGGAAATTATAATTTGATAGTTTATCTGGCCTATTTATTTGTAACCATTCTTCCAATTTCTAGTTCAAACTCATCACTTGAGTTTCTCTATTCCAAATGTTCTTATTAATGTTGAAGCAGTTGTAGATATCATATTCGTTTGCATGTTGGTTGACACTTTACCTCATTCCAAAAAGAACTTAAGGTGGTTTATAAGGGTTCATAAAACTCAAGATGGAACTAATCAAAAATAAGAAGGAAGGAAAGATGAGTATTAAAAAATAGTTAAAAATACCATGCCCTAGCTGGACATGATGGTACAAACTTGTAACCCCAGCAGCTCAGGAGGCTAAGGCAGGAGGATTGTGAGTTCAAAGCCAGCCTCAGCAAAAGCAAAGTGCTAAGCAACTCAGTGAGACCCTGTCTCTAAATAAAATACAAAATAGGGCTGGGGATGAGGCTCAGTGGTCGAGGGCCCCTGAGTTCAATCTCCGGTACCCCATAAAAACAAATACCATGCCCTAAAAACCATGTGAATAAATTGTGGATTGACCCAAATATTCTAGAGCCAACACAAAAAGGTAAACTGAGTTACAAGATTCAGAACAGTCCCTGGATGAAAAGAGACCAGTTGCTCCAAAGGTTTAGCCATTGTTAGTTACAAAATTCTCTGAAGCATTCACCACAAAGGTCCCCCTATCAAATCCAGGCTCATTCAGCACCTGAGTAGTGTCAGAGTCCCCAGTGCAGATCACAGAAGCTTGATGAGAAGCCATTTATCCCCAGGGACAACAGGACCCAGGCAAATCAGAAGCTCCTGCCCTTGGGTAGGAAAGAAACAGTCCAAGATTTCTGCTCGGGACAGGACTGGCTATCTAGAATGAAAAGAGCAGCCTATTTCTTTCTTTTTATTTTTTATTTTTTTTTTTTGGTACTGAGAATTTACTTCTGAGCCACATCCCCAGCCCTTTTTAAAATATTTTATTTAGAGACAGGGTCTCTCTGAGTTGCTTAGGGCCTCGCTAATTTGCTGAGACTTGCTTTGAACTTGCAATCCTCCTGCCTCAGCCTCTCAAGCCACTGAGATTATAGGCATGTGCCACTGCCGCCAGCCAAGAGCGGACTATTTCTTGGATGTATCAAAGTTATTATATTTCTTTCTGGGTTGGTGTTTCTTTTAGTTATTTTAGGTAAACAGCATGTAACATTTTTGTAGTCAAATGAAAGCACACTACATCTGAAAAAGGGTCTGTTAGGACATAGATTGGGCTCAAGTCTTGGACAGTGACTCCCACCTCTCCTTCCATGAGAGAGGACATGGTAACTAGTCCCTAATACACGGAGTCTAACTCCCCATTCTTGTGGCTGTACATAATGTGGAGCTTCACGGGTCATGTGTTCATAGGTGAACATAGGAGGGTTCTGTCCCATTAGAGAATTCTGTCTCTAAAATAAGTCGACCCCTTACATCATAGAGATTTTTTGTTGTTGTTGTTAAAAACAAAGAAGCTTTTCCCCCCTGTAAAGAGGAGATTTTTAGAGTCAAGCCTGGATATGAATTCTGGTTCTGTCACTTCCTAAGTGACCTTGGACCTCCTGGAAGCTCAGTGTCCCCATCTCTAAAATGAGCCCTACAAATACTGTCTAACATGATGATTGTGAGAATGATTTTATATAGAACCTCTCACCCACAGTAGGCATAAAACATTATAGCTATTATTGCCTTCCATGTAACAATGTTCCCAGGCTAACATAGATAATGCATAGGTGTGTTACACCAACAAGTGGACAAATGAATGAATACTACCACCCAGGGTCTCTAACAACTGGCTAAATTCTAACTCTTTAAAGCTATCAGAGCTTGGTGGGTAAGAGCTAGGACTCAGGAGTCAGAGAGCCTTGGACAGCTCTTAGAATAATGATAAGAACTTTCTGACAAGGTATGGTGGCCCACAACTGTGATCTTAGCAACTCAGGAGGCTGAGGTAGGAGGATCCTGGGTTCAAAGCCAGCCTCAGCAACAAAGTGAGAACCTTAACAACGCAGCGAGAGCCTGTCTCAAAAAAAAAAATTGAAAAGGCTCAGGGGTTAAATTCTTATCATGTACATATGATAAGGGATGTTGTAGGATCTGTCAGATGAGGATTATATAGTCCTTGGCATTGTTCCTGAGACATGGTGAGCGTTCAATCACTATTATTCTTTTTTTACCATATGATTTATTTTTATTTTTTAGTCATATATGACAGCAGAATGTATTTATTATTATTGTATATTTTATGTAAGTATGAATATCATCAATCTTCATTATCCAACATATCTCTCTTGTTCCTCCTGCTTTGGTGAGGTGGCACCCCCTTTCTCTACAGAAAAGCCCTCTTCACCATGGCTGATTTTAGGACTGTCAGCAAAAGAGTCCACTGTAGATAAACTTCCTATTTTCATGTCACCCTGTTTACTTGGCCAATGGCTGAGAAGATACCAGCACTCCAGGTGCTGGACACCCCCTTACTAGTTTTTCATAAATGTATCCAGTACAGTACTTTGAAGAAATGTGCAAACAAGGCCTCTGGCCTTGAGCTGGGCTTCACAGGGATGTCTACATTTTTAAGATAAGTTACAAATGGGCTCCATGGTCACAGCTGGCAGGGGGAGGAAAGAAAGGGGAGAAGAAGCTCTCCCCTTCTCAGGTGTTGTCCTTGAAGGGTTAACTTGCCCAACATAGTGAAAGAAAAAGCTGCTTTTGTGTGAACTTCTGTAGACTGTGAACTTCTGCGCCCTCCCCTTACATGCTGGGTATAAAACTCTGAAACTCCCTGAACTCGGGGTTCAGGGCATTGATTGATCACAGCAAAAGGCTGTGCCCTCTGAACCTGGCTGCAGCCAAATAAAACTGTTTCCTGCTCTCTTCAGTGCCTGGCCTCGTTTGTCCCAACAATGGGACCTTGGAATTTTTCTAAAAGGCAAAGCAAGTAGTTATATAAAGTACTTGTTCCTAGAACTCACTTCCGTTTTCTTTTCCTGCTCCATCTCTGCTCTGTAGGACTTCGTCGTCACCGTGGTCTTCTCCTTCTTGTGGTTGGTGGGCTCATCCGCGTGGGCCAAAGGACTGTCTGATGTCAAAGTCGCCACAGATCCCAAGGAAGTCTTGCAACTCATGTCAGCTTGCAAGCAGCCGTCCAACAAGTGCATGGCTGTCCACAGCCCTGTCATGTCCAGCTTGAACACTTCTGTGGTGAGTCGGTTTCCCCCGAGACTTAAGCCCAATGAGTAAGAAAAGCACCTCCAGAGTTGGATGGTAAATGTCTGCCTCCCAAATTAGGCCAGTGGAACAGTGGAATTTCACTCCAGGTGCAAGACCGTCTTTTTGGTCCTCAAGGTTTTTATCGTCAGAAATCCATACACTCCAGGGCCACCGATTGACAGACTTCTTAATAGAAACCCAGCAGGTATCAGCAGCTACTGCTTAGATGACTGTCAAGTCAAAATTCTAAGCCAAAAGCAGACATGGAATCTAAACATGAAGGCTGCCACCTGCCAGAAGTTTAAAGGAATTTTTGATGGCATAGAAGTTATCTGGGAGGGAAACATTATTCAAACCCTGCATAGAATACACCCAACTGGAGAAGAAAATACTCAAACTTCATAAGTTGCAAAAGAAATTACATGGCAAACAAAAGTGCCAGGAATAGTTATGGTCATTTTTTTTAAATCTTCTCCATCCTCTTGGTTTAGTTTCTTGATAGCTTTAGAAAAGATGTACTCTATGGGTTRAAGATGGTCAAATATTGTCATCAGGTATGTGGCTCTTACAGGACGAGAGAAAATCTGACAGTTAGCAGGGATGCTAAATTGGATTCTTAATTTATAARGGTAAGACTTGTGTTATTCCCAATAAAGAAGCTGTGTCTGAAAAAAGAAGCTGTAAYGGCAGCACAAAATAGTTTGTATCGAAGAAGAGGAAGCTCAGCAGTGTTTGTTAAAGGAACAACATTCTTTAGCAACCTTAGAAATAATTATTTTTGCTTCAAGGTTAACCTGTGTTTCTACAGCTTTTTGGAATTCAATCTGAGAAGCTTCTGGGGAGGGAACTGAGATTGAACCAGGGGTGTTTAACCCCCCCAGCYCTATTTTGTATTTATTTAGAGACAGGGTCTCACTGAGTTGCTGAGGGCCTCACTAAGTTGCTGAGGGTGGCTTTGAACTGAGATCCTCCTGCCTCAGCCTCCCCAGCCTCTGGGATTACAAGGGTGTGCCACCATGCCCAACTTGGGAAGGCTCTTAAAATGCAGGAAAAGGTTGCTCCTCTGCTCCCAGCRATTTTACCACTGATTCCTGCTTTGGTGAGATAGTAACCATGGAAACAAACCATATTTGAGGACCTCACAATCATTTCTATTGATTGCTGGCCTCACCTGTAGATAACTGCTTTGAGGTATACATTRACATAAGCAGTATYACTTATTCTACTTTGTTTTATAGAYAGTGTTTAATGAAAGTGATTATAACTCGGTTCTCAAAACCTAAGAGAACAAAGATTAAACTGTTTGRTGTGTTTGTTAGTTTGATAACCAGTCTCCAATAAATTGTGAGACCTTGCAGGGTCCTTTAAATTCTTCTGCTCGTGTCTTCGATGATTTTTTAATCTAGAAGACAGGAATTCAGAATGAAAAAACAAGRTGATTGTTACAGTTATGTATCCATAGCTGTTTTCTCATAACAGAAAAGTCACTTCAAGCTGGCTAAAGCACAAGTCTTTGTACCCCTAAAGTCTATTCTTTGAGCCCCACTTCTGATACCAATATCTATATGTGTTCAAATATTTGGACTGCAAATAAGAGAAACTGACTCTAACTTCATCTTGGAAAAAAATAAAAAAAAAAACAGTTTTGGGGAAGATATCAAATGGCTCATGAACACCATGAGATTTGAAAACACAAAGGCAAATCTTGAGGAGAATCAGAGTTCCAGATGCCGGATACTAAAGAATAGTCCCTCTGAGTTGCCACTAGTGGAAATTTTTACCTAACTTTGCATTTTTCTTCCAGGGTTGCATTAAGTTCCAGGAGAGAGCTCTAGCCACTGAGGTGGAACACGGCTCTGCAAACGAAATCAGATTTGTATTTCCTAAATCAGAGGAACAACTATGAATCAGCCCAAACACAATCATTTTTTTTAAATTACAAACTTGCCTTCAAGTCATATGGATAGTTTATGCAAAATGGAAAATAATTGGAAAAATACTATCATGTTGCCTTGCCAGGGTAGAATCCAGGGCCAAGAACCAAAATATCATTGGGAAATGGAACAGGTTTTATTTCCCACTCTTTTCCTTACCTCTTTCTGGAGCTTTGTGTTTTTCTGTTGAAAGAGAATGTCTGTTTCATTATTGTCTCTTTCCAGATAGACTTTCACTTTTTCTCCATACCCACAAACAGAAGAAAACACCTCACAGATTCTAAGYTTATATTTGCTGTTAAAGAAAACTTGGGCTGGGTGCATGCCTGTAATCCCAGCAGCTTGGGAGGCTGAGGCAGGAGGATCRMAAATTCAAAGTCAACCTCAGCAAAAGTGAGGCCCTAAGCAACTCAGTGAGACCCTGTCTCTAAGTAAAATACAAAATAGGGCTGGGGAGGTGGCTCAGTGGTCAAGTGCCCCTGAGTTCAATCCCTGATATACCATCCCCCACCCCACCCMCCAAAAAAGGAARAGAAAGTTTGGAACGAGCTACAATCACTCCGTTCCAATTCCAGACACCTGGTAGAGAACCCCTCTAAGGCCTTCTGTGCACCTTTGTCTTATCATTGGGGAGTCTGTCATCTAAATACAGCACTCACTCTCCTGGGCCAGAGCAAGTTTTAGAGAAGGAGCCGGACACACACCACAGTAGGTGACGTCTTCCAACAAATGGGTCAGGAAATAATCACCTTATTTTCCACCTTAGTAACAAATTGACTTTCTTCAAGGCACTTTGGCATYTGTCATTTCATAATGACACATAAAGGCAGATGAGCTATCCAGATAATGCCCCTGAGTGGAGCTGAGGTTAAGGGACCTGTGTCAAGTTTCCAGAYTAATGTCTAAAAGTCAAACTTCTAAAAGGCCAGAACTGGAGCCAAACTGYCCAAATGCTGTTGCCACGGAATACAGCTGCATGAACGATGCTGGAATCTCTCTGCCAGGGTTTGAGTCCYGGCTGCATCATGCAATAATTGACAGTCTATCCTTGGACAATGTAATTCAGTTATCTGAAACTTAGTCTCACCACCGGGAAAACGGGCCTAATTATAGAACAGACCTCAAGACTGTTGGAAGATTTCAGCAAGACAATATATGAAAAATACTTAACATGACTTATCATGGTGCCCAGTATATAGCTAAYGCCAGGTAATAGTCAACTCGAAGCTCCTAAAAAAATACACTCAGCTGGGCACAATGGCACATGCCTATGATCATAGCTGCTGGGGGAGCTGGGGAGGCTGAGGCAGGAGGATCATGAGTTCAAAGCCAGCCTCAGCCACTTGGTGAGGTGCTAAGCAACTCAGTGAGACCCTGTCTCTAAATAAAATATAAAAATGGAKGGAGATGTGGCTCAGTGGTTAAATGCCTCTGGATTCAATCCCTAGTACCCAGGGAAAAAAATGTATACACTCATTTTCTCTAATATTATTAAGTGTTAGAGGCCAGCGAGATGTAGGGAGATGGGATTTATTTTAATCTCTCAGTTCTTATCAAGCTTTCACTGAGCATCCTTAGTTTATCCATAACTTTGATTTCTACTTGTACTTCTTCACTTCAGGCAAACATGACACGTCTTTTTGGATAATCTCGACTTCCTCTCCCTGTTCTTTCTCGTGCTAGGTAGAGTCTCTTTCGAGCTCTCTCTCTCTCTGTTGTCCCCACTTCTGAACTCGAATCAAAATTCTTCCCCTAGTTTCAGTTGCAACAAAATGGCAAGAAAAAACTTAGGAAGCCATGTGTCCCTGAAATATGCCCGTCGAGAGACCTGTGATACCTCTGTGACCCAGGAAACTCGGCTATCAGACAGGACGCCTTCTGGTCTTACTTTTAAGTTGCATTTCCCTGATTTCTAGGTTCTTCTTGAGCATCCCTTTGGAATTAAAAAAAAAAAAAAAAAAACTGTGACAACATGGAAAAGGGAGAGACCAAAGATATACACAACAACCTGGGCCCAATGATGCACACCTGTCATCCCAGTGGCTCGGGAGGCTGSGGCAGGAGGATTGCGAGTTCAAAGCCAGTCTCAGCAACTTAGTGAGGCCCTAAGCAACTCAGTGAGACCCTGKCTCTAAATAAAATACAAAAAGGGCTGGGGATGGGGCTCAGGGATCAAGTGCTCTGGATTTTTAATTCCCCCAATTTATAGGCAACAGATAAAATTATAGCCTTGGACAGAGCTATCTCTTCATATCTGAAAAGATCACTTAATGATTTTTTTCCATTTATATATTGGCATTTACTTACAAATGTACAATTTAGTCAAGCTCCCCCTTCTCATGCCAAATATCCAGTTACTGTACACAGGTTGAAATGTCCTGAATGCAAATTAGARTTTTGACCGTGATTACATGATTAATTTCCACCAAGCAACGATTACACCTGATTTATGTTTTATATCTTCCTCAGCAATAGCGAGGGACATGTCACAAAATTGATCCTCAATATTAAAGGAAAGATTTGGAAGAGGAAAGAAGAAGGAAAAGAGGAAGGGAAAGAAGGAGGTCCTGATAAGCCAGTCTTCGATTAGATCAAGTTACTCTGTTTTAACTATTTTATTTTTTACCTGTCAAGAATATAGCCTCATGGTCAAAAATGCACTTCGATTTATGTGATGGCAAGAGTTACAATTGGTAGAAATATTTTAAAGTGATTCAGAGCATTGTTTACCATGTAACACAAATATGTCCGGCCCTACCCACCTTCACATATTGTCTTTAGTCCTCCAAACTATCCCCCAAGGAAAGAATTATTATCTTCTTTCCAAATAAGAAAAAAAAATCCTGAGGTCTAAGGTCCGAGTCGCAGAGCAAGAAGGCAAGCGCCCAGGCCACTCAAATTTCAGCGCCCTCAGAGATCACTCCAAGTCCCACATTCAGCTAGTCGGCAGGTGGTCTAATAAGGAAATGTCTTAGTAAGCAGTCCCCAACATCTCTACACTAGCATCTCTCTACCTACCTCTGTTAGACTTTGATATTATCTCTTTAATATTATACTTTAATTATTATACTTTAATATCATCTCTTTCATATTATCTCGATAGACTTTAATATTATCTCAGTTGGTATTATACTAACCTTATCTGTCTCCAACATGAAATTGTCCAAACAGGCTACTGTGATTCATTCCCAAGTCAACCAACCAGTCTTGGAAAAGGTGGCAGAAGAACCATGTAATGGGGACTTCTTTTTGAGCCTGTTGCAGTAGCAAATAGCTCTGTATCCATCAAACACTTAGGCCCTAGAGAAACACCACCCAGTCCTCTGACTCAATAAAAACTCTTCTGGAGAGTGAAAGAGACCTGCATATGAAAGCCTCATATTCATATTCCAGTTCTTCAGGAAGCATTTTCTATCTCTCTGAAACCTCACCTCTTTCTGGGTCTGCTCTTGAAGTTCATTTCTGAAGGTGAGAGACACAGAAGTACAACTCTGCAGAGCCTCAAACTCTGTGCCTACATCACAGATTGTTCCATGTTTATTTAAAAAATCATTTTCTATCATTATAATAAATGGGAAAGTAGTATCTGTAGCCAGTAGCCTTATAAATTAACATATCATTACTAAAGAGATAATATTGCACCCTACACCACCTGATGGTAATCCTATATACCATGAGGAATTCCTCATTTGCAGATGATATACTGATGGCTTAGGTAAGGGCTTAGGCTATCAGACAGAACAGGGTTTAAATCCYAGATCTCTTTACCAAGTCGTGTGACCTTGGACCAGAATCCACTTCATTAATATGGGCCTAATAATTGCACTGTCAGCTTCGACTGAGGGAATCAATCCAYATAAAGTCCTTTACCTGGTGCCTGGCTTACAGCAGGCCTTCACTAGAAACCAAATATTCTCAAAGAGATTGTGATTTCAAATGGAACATCAGACCAGGTCTGGGTCATGGGGCCTCCATGTTAAAGCCAAAAAACATCCATTATACTCTGAAGGATTTTTCTGAATCATTTGCCCTGATTCTCTCCTTAGGTCTTTGGATTCTTGAATTTTATCCTCTGGGCTGGAAACATCTGGTTTGTTTTCAAGGAGACCTGCTGGCATTCCTCCGGACAGAGATACCTCTCGGACCCCATGGAGAAGCATTCGAGCAGCTATAATCAGGGCGGGTACAACCAAGAGAGCTATGGGTCTAGCAGYGGGTACAACCAGCAGGCAAGTCTGGGGCCATCCTCAGACGAGTTTGGCCCACAGCCTAGTGGTCCCACCTCCTTCACCAATCAGATTTAGCAGAGTAGCTTTTGCAGTCTTCTGGAGAAGGTCTCACCACCTTCCACTTCAGTGGCAGAAGAATTTTTTAAGAGTTCCCATCAATTATTCATGCAGGTAGTGTTGAATGTAAGTCAGAGATGTGTAGTCCTCATTAAAGCAGAGAGGCCTGGGTCGTGATAAATGATTCTTAGAGATGAGACGACGTGGGGAGACATATTATTTATCACAGATGGCTAATTGGAGAGTACCTTGTTAAATCCACAGATACTTTTATGGTCATTTTATATGTGTGTTAGAGATCGTCGAAGCATTTTGTAGCTTAAAGTCTCTGGTAGGTAATATGCATAAAGTCAATTAAATAGCATTGAGTTTTTCCTATGCATTTTGACGCAAAAAAAAAACATTTTAATGATTCCTAGGAGACAATTTGATGTATAACAACATTGCATGCATTATTATTTTTTAGTTTTTAGATCCTGTATAATGCAAGTCTCTAAYTACTTATTTCAGGCAATTACTGTATTTTTTTTTCACTTGATGAATCAATGCTCATATGATTTAGTGCATGAATAAGCATTTCTCACACAGTAAACATTTGAATTATATTTACGAAGTTTTTCCAGTTTGCACTATAAATTTGTCAAAAGGATGTTTAAAGAAACATACTCATTACTTTGTATACCTTTGCAAATTTGTCTTTCTGGCTTTACCTAAGTTCTGAATGCATTATAACTAAGATTTGTGTTGTTGTTGTTGTTGTTGTTGTTTTCCTATTAGTAGACAGTGTTACATATGGTAACTGCCCAATATTTATCCTATTTGCTTATCTAAGTATTTACATTCTAGTAAATTTCTATGGTGTTTTATGGCTCTTATCCTGTGGACCATGCCTAATAAAGCCCAGTAACTGTCTGAGCTCAAACAGTGATATGTTCATAGAATACTGGAGATGCAGATTTAGATACCATAGTTAAGATGTTGCTGTTCTAAAGTATTAGTGTAGAAAGGAAATTCTGTAGATCTGTGTAGACCCATCAAACATTTTAATCCTATCTATTTATAAAGCTAATATGTTCTTCAATCCAATTATTGAAAATTCTCAAGTCACAGCTCAACAGATTTACTAATTCTGCTTTGAGTGTCACCGATAATTAAAAATGGCTTCCAGGTGCCACTCTGTATCCCAAAGAGTGTTCTCATGAAATATTCCCTAGAATGTATTCATTACCAAGAAAATGCCAAACTTCTCCTCTTTATTTTAATTCAATTGAAACACCAGAGCCTGGACGGTAAGGAAAGCTAAGCATCTGTATTTCCAGATAAAAGTTGTTATTTCTGTACAAACTTTGTGTGATCTGTGATGTGAGAAGCATATAGCACAAAATAGCCTTGTGTCTTGGATGATATCTGTAACCCTCTCTTGATCCTGTTGAATAAATGTGTATTGTGATATCTATTTGACCTTAATAAAGTTATTACACACATTGCTGACAGTGCAGTGAATGACAGTAGTGCTACCCGGCCGGCTGACCAGTGAAAAGAACAGGGGTTAAATGCAGTGTCTCCAGTCTCTCCCCCTCTCAGCCCAGGTGTGAAGGTTGGATGTGGGGTGTCCCCCAAAAGCTCACGTGTGAGACGGTGCAGGAAGGTCCAGAGGAGACATGACTGGGTGGTGAGAGCCTTAACCCAACCAGTGAATGGATCCCTGATGGGATTAACTGGGTGGTGGCTGGAGGCAGGTGGATGTGGCTGGAGGAGGGGGCATTGGGGCCGTGGCTTTGGGGTCTCTATTTGTCTCTGGAGAGAGGAGTCTCTCTCTGCTTCCTGATCACCATGTGAGCTGCTTCCCTCCACCACACTCTTCCTCCATGGTGTCCTGCCTCCCCTGGAGCCCTGAGGGATGGAGCCTGCTGTCTGTGGACTGAGACCTCTGAAACCCTGAGCCCCCAAGTCAACTTTTCCTCCTTCATAGTTGTGCTGGTCGGGTCTTTTAGTGGCAGCAGTGAAAAAGCTGACTAACACACCAGGGTTGTTCATTCAGTCACTCCCCCATTCTAAGACCTTCTGTGCCCTTGTCACCGTGCATGTCTCTGGGGACATAATAATGAGAAAACCCAGAAACAGGCTGTTCATTAAGAAGCTTATGTTCTATTAGGAGAGACAGACTTACAATCATCAAACCCCAATTATGCCAAGTACGACAATGAGACACAGGATCCCACCATCCCACAGGAACATCTATCAGAAGGACTTGAGCTAGTTAGGGAGAAGCCCAGGAGCCTTGTACCTGAGCACTGAGACCAAAGGACAAAGGACAGGTAGCTGATTACCAAAGAAAAGGAAAGGTGTTGGTAGCACTGAATACAGCCTCTGGGGGAGGGGAAAGATCACACTTTCCAACCCAAGCAATCACCCCCTGGACAGTTCTCTTCCTGCCTTTTGGTCATCTTTTGATCACTGCAGACAGGTTGGGAAGAGGGGGGCATGAGAAGAAGGAAAACCTAAATTCTTTAAAGGGGCAGGACACCCCCATTCCTAAAGGCACCAGCTCTGAGGAAGCTGAGGCAGGAAGATCGCAAGTTCAAAGCCAGCCTCAGCAATTGAGCAAGGCCCTAAGCAACTCAGCGAGACTCTGTCTGTAAATAAAATAGAAAAAGGTCTGGGGATGGGGCTCAGTGGTTAAGCACCCCTAAGTGCAACCCCGGCACTGAAAATAAAGAGGTAACCTCTGAGATCAGACYACCTGGTGTAGAATCCCTGCAGTAGATCTACCTTTCTTGGGCCTTCTCCAAAGCCCCAGGACTCCTCTGAGGTCTATGGGTACTTGCAGCCTGGATGTGAAGGGAAATTAAACTCTGGGGAGCACCTTCAACCCTGAGGGGTGTGGGCAGGTCAATGGAGAGAGGCCTTTGGCAAGATGCTTAAGTTCTCATACTTTCCTCTCTRCCCTGGAGACAGCAATAATATAGACTGCCTTGAAGAAGTGAAGATATTATTAGGAAAAGGGGAGGCCACAAACAGGAAGGAGAGCAGCTTCGGCATGCAGCTGGCACTGTCAGGGACTGACTGGGTCTCCTGAACACAGCACCTGCGAGGAGGGCCTGGTTGCAAGCGGTTGGTTTGGGAGGTGACTTTGTCACAGCAGTCCATTTTACCTTTCGAATGCAGCCCTTCCTGCTTATTTTTAAAGGGATCCGTCTTCCTTTTCCTCTTCTCCCTCTCCCCATCCCTCACCTGGGAGCAGGGAACAAGGTGACCTTCAGTTATCTGTTCTCCCCTGGAAGGAGATGTCCCCAGAAGAACTAGGAAGTGACAGTCTCCCAGATTAACAAGTGGATTTCAATACAACCTCAGGGTGCACCTGGGACCCCCCCAGCAGGACCCACCGGGAAGGTAGCCTTTGAATCGCTTCTTTAAAAGCCCCCCCGTTTTCCCCCAACGGGCAGAACCACAGCCTCTGGGACTGGAGTCCCCTGTGTCGCTYCTTTGCTTACAAAGCGATAAACCTTCTTTTTCCTTTTTCTCAATACCGTGTCCTCATTATTGGATTGGCACTGGGGACAAGGACSGAGCAGGAGCAGGAGTGAGGGAGTGCAGAACAGGAGAGGGCCAAGGAGGAGCACCAAGCACAGGGTGGGTTGGTGACCTTGATGGAGGGGACAGGAGGTGCTGGGCTCCCTCGGGATCAGCCCCGGAGGGACGGGCAGGTTCCCATCAAGGCGCAGGAGCGGGCGTGGGAATGCGCCCAGTCCACGGTAACCTGCCACATTTCGAGGTCGCACTTGCCTGTGAACACTCCTAGGACTTTGGGRAAATAACTCTTGACTCCTGACATCCATCAGGCCGTGGGCTAGGGGAGGGGGCTGGCATGAGTCCTGCCACAGCCTCCCGCCCTCAGTTCTGTGGACAGTGAACTTGAGGAAGGATAGAGGAGGAGGCCCAGAAGGTCCACGCATGGGGGAGGTCACTGTCAACAGGAGCGGGAACTCTCATCCAAGCCGAGGCTGAAATGAGAGACTCACCGAGGAAGAGCAAGGCCAAAGCCACCTACCGCGGTGACCCATGAGCTGTTATCACTTAGCCTTTAGAACCAGGCTGTGGCTGATCCCACCCTGTGGGGCAGTGACAAGAACTTATCTGGCTGTAGGTKTAAAACATTAATGAACCCACAGAGAGTTGGCTCCACAGAGCTGAATTAAATGTCGAGCTATAAATGGACTCCAAACTTACATAAGACTGAATTCTTATAAGTCAAACTTCGACTTGAACCGAGGGAGACAAAATAGACTCCTTGTCATTTTTGGAGCTTACCCTCAAGATTGGAAGATTCATGTAGCCAGCAAATAACCATCTATGTAGGAATAGATTCTGATGGATACTGGGGATGATATTTAGCAGGGGGCAGTGGAATGGGGTGCTCACCAGAGGCCTCTCTGAAAAGGTACCTCTCTCAGCTGAGGCCTGGGGACATGAAGAATAAGGATTGTTTTAGTCAGCTTTTTTGCTGCTGTGACCGAAAGACTTGACAAGAACAATTAAAAGAGGAAGAGTTTATTTGGGGGCTCAGGGTTTCTGAGGTCTCAGTCCATAGACAGCAGGCTCCATCCCTCGGGGCTCAAGGGGAGGCAGGACATCATGGAGGAAGAGTGTGGTGGAGGGAAGCAGCTCACATGGTGATCAGGAAGGAGAGAGAGAGAGAGAGGGAGAGAGAGAGAGAGAGATCTCCCTTTACCACAAACAAAATATAAATAAAATATTTACCACACCTCCAAGGAACCCTCCTCCTCAGACCACACCCCACCTGCCTGCAGTTACCATCCAGTTAATCCCTATCGTGGGGACTAATGCAGGATTAAGTGAAGACTCTTATAGTCCAATCATTTCACCTCGAAACTTTCTTACATTGTTCCACACTTGAGCTTTTAGGGGACACCTCACATCTAAGCCGTAAAAGGGAGGAATCATACCTTCTTTGGGGAGAAGAAGCAGAGGAGAGAGGGTGTCCAAGAGCCTAAGGCAGGAGACCACCCAGTGTCTTTGAAGAATGGCTAAGAGAAAGGGAAGTGGGATTGTG